GGGGGGGGGGGGGGGGGGGGGGGGGGCGGGGGTGCTTGGTTGTCTTCTGCCATGCCCACGAAAGTCTGCCTAAATCTGGCCAAATTTGATAAATCACTGAAAAACAGTTTGGAACATGACCAGTGTTTAGCAGCTATATGATGTGTGCACTGAACATGCTCTATCCCCACACAAATTCTACTTTACAAAAATGCGCAGGGACCACCCCCCAGTCATCATGATCCATTCCAGGGAAAAGGATGTGCCCTACGGGCAAAATTTTACCCACAACTACACTGGGTAAAATTCATCTACCAAAGGAATGGATGTAAGATATCTGGCAAGATTTCTCATAAACATCCCACTGTCTGAAATATATATCACAAACACATTTTTTATAAAAGGCATACTATAAATTTTCTTAGGCTAAGTTATGCATTCTAGACATCGCCTAACACATTTATTTTGAAGTGTTAAATGAATAGGCCTGTATCAGTAGAACAAAAAATTCTATAAAAATAAGTGCATAACTTGAAAAGGCAAATTTATAGGCAGAATGTAATGAAAGCTAAATGCTGCTCTAATATTTAAATGTTTAAATAAAACATTTACAGTATAATAAAGTTTGATAATGTCTTCCAATTACACTAGCACTCAATGAGCACCTGGATACAATATATATAGAAAAATCAACTACTTCTTTAGTAGTCTAAATATTGAATTTTAAACATTAGATCAGAGAAACCTCTAATTCAACAAAAGCAGTGATTCAGTATTACTGGAAAGTATGCTCTTTGGGAATATATACTGAATGAAATAGGGACAGTCTCTCCTGAGTAAAATATGAAATCTGTCTTATATTAAGTGCTTATTAGAAAAACAAGACACAAAGAACATTAAATATAGAATTTCAGGCACAGTGACCACAATATAACTGTGGATCAGTTTGCTGTAGCTATGGTACATGAAAGCCATTTGTATAAATACATTTGCTTGCTTTGCTAAAATACGGAAATTAACTTAGTGAATAAACCAAACCCTGGGCATACAAGTAATAGAAAATAATCTAACTGTCATTTCTTGATGATGTTTTTAAGTACTATAGATGTAGTTCAGTATCAGTATGGAATAATTATAGGAGTCTTGGTTAAGATGGAATCAAGGTTGTCATTAAATATTGCTAATTTAAAGGAAATATGAGAACACTGGGAACAAAAGAAAAAAACTCAAGCCCAAACACTGTAACAAGGAAGGAAAAAAAAAACAAAGTTAAGTTAAATTAATACAAACAAACAGTGACAAAAACTCAATTTTTTTTGTGTGGAAATAACCAGTTAAATTCTCCTAAGCATCCCAAATTCTGCTTTGCTTCCCACACCTGCCATCATTTATATGTTCTATATAAGACAAATATTAGTTTAAGGATTTCAAATGTGGCAATCTGACTGAATCTTACATAAACTGCTTAAGATTCATTAAGCCTAATTTATAATTGGTTTAACAACTTCAAGGAATATGCTGCCTATGGCTGTGGAAACATTATAAAGCCTATCCTTTGCTATATTTCTTCATGTTCCACTTCTTCCAAAAATCACAATGTCATTAAAATAACCTTATATGCTATTTATTTGCATTACTATAGTGCTGACACTTCAGAAATGTAACAAATTTAAAATTTGTTCTCTACTCTGATCAAAAAACAAAAATGCACAAAACATTTTGAATAGTTACGGCCATTTGTATATTTTCCCCTTTAAACTAAACTGTTAGCACTGTTCTAAACAATGTCAACAGAATTTAGGTTGTAGGGTCTACTTAGCTGTACATACACAGAATAAAGTTTTCACCTATAAGCATCCACTTGAAGCCTGTCAATGAGGATCATAATCGTTTAAGATTGTTGCCTTGCATCCAAAGGTGGGTCTGAGGAAACAATATTAGGAAGATAAGATTAAGTTTGGATAGGTCTTTATGCACATGAAGTCTAGAAAATAAGATGTTGGTGCTGTTGCTGCTTCATCAGGGACACCAGACTAGAGATACCCTGGCCATTCAGTTGGCAGATTAGGCAAACATTCGTATTCCAGTTGTGGAATAATGTAGTGTATGCATGGGGAATGATCTTGTCCCGTTTGAAATATACAGGATTTGCTTGCTCAAAAACATCCAATGAATGGAATTTGACTATATGTATAATAAGAATAATACAGGCAATGAGGCAGTTTGAGACAATTTAACTCATGATTTGATATATTTAGTAGGGGGGTTTTTCTATTCTATAGTTCAAAATTATTTTAAACGTCATTTAACCTTAACTTTGAACTACCTTTTTGTATTGCTTAGTTCATGAAGTCTAGTTCTTTAACAGGCCTGATCTCCTAGGTCCCCTCAACACATAAATATCATGCAGTTAACTGGTTACTTGTGCAATCACCTTAAGACCAGCTACATGTGTAAAGTAGCTATCACACGATAAAAAACTCCAGCCAGCTATAAAGTAAAGACCTCAAAAATGTATTATAACTTTATAGCTGGTTGTTACTGAGCTTTAGTTTGCACACGTAGCAGGGCCTCCCCTGTAGCTGAGAGCCCTGTCACCTGACTAGACTAGCTGAGAGCCCTGTCACCAACTAGGGCTTCTAGTTGCTGGGTGCATCATGCCCAGTGTGAAACTTCTGAGCCCTGGGGATCATGGCTGCTGTGATCCCCAAGGCTCAGGGATGCATGAAACTCCTGGCCCACACAGGACTCTCAATCTTGGCTGCACATAGCTCCCACAGCTGGAAACCACCTTAGCTCCTAGCCATGGGACTCTGCTCCTTGTCAGTGCAGGGGGAACACACAGAATCGGGCTCCCCCTACATTGGAAATAAGGTGCGATTGGGTCTGATGCACGATCCCACAATTGTGCCTTCTTCCATGCCACATGTAGCACAGCAGGTGTGATTGTGTGGATCACACATTAGATCCCATCGCACATGTGCCTGCATGTGTGGAGGAGACCCTAGAGTTATTAAGTAGATGTTAATGTTTGCTTTATGATGATCCAATGCAAATAATTACCCATCTCTAAAAGTTCAAAGTTTCCAGGAGTTAAATGAATAAAGGATATCAAATAACAAGAATATACTTTTTGTAGAAAACAGTGATTAAATTGAGGCTTCCTGACCAGTGATTTAAACTGATTTGATTTAAATCCATCCTGGTTTTCCTAAATAATTTTGTCTACAGGACTTCTGAACAACAGAGAAAAAAAATCAACTTTAGGAGAGAGTCTTAGTCAGGGTATGGTTAGAATACTTTATTTATAACAAAACTTTCCCAAATGGAGAACTCTTCAACTTTCCTATGTTTGATCATTTCAGATCCAAAATTCAACCATAAATCAGGAGCTAAGGGAATCCACAAAGAACATTGCTGGAAAGCTAAATGATTTCTTTACATCGATCTTCAATCCAAGAAATGTCTATTCTAGATCTTTTTTCAAGTAAAACTTTAAATGCAATTAGAGATAAAGGTGCCAGAAAAGAGAGGTGCTGGAACAAATAGATCATTTAACAAGCTTTAAGTCATTAAACTAAGATCATACACATCCAAGACTTCTGAATGAGTATAACTAAAACATGAGCTCATTAGAAATGGATATTGTGACCTGGAAGGTAGTAAATGCTATACTAAAAAGTTAAAAAAGGCTTTAACAGTGATCCAGTAAGTCTTCATGGTTTTAAAGACTATTAAGTCATATAAATATAACTTGTATACTAGTTGAAATGATAATTATAGAATAAACAAACAGCTGGGATATTGTGACATGATACGTTTTAGCTAGGATCATTTATGCAAAGACAAACTCCATTATACTGACAGTCACATAGCAAGTAAGGTAAAACTGGCTAACTTCATCTATTTAACCTTTCAAAAAAAAACCCTTGACAAGATTCTCAAAAAAGATTACCAATTAAATGGTCTTGAGTGAGAGGCAACATACCATATTTTCTCACACACAACATATACCTTTTTTTTTCAAAAAACAGCATCTTGGTTATTGGGGTGCAAATGAGAAGTAAGGAAATACAGTATCAGCAATTTCTGCCACCTAAGCTTCTGGCGGGTAAAAACAAAACTAAGCCTATATGCAATCCACATGAAGCAGAATGAGTAGCTCAAAAACAAGGTACATATCTTGTTCTGGGGCATGCTGGATGCATGAATATATACTATTTTCATGGATCAAAAATTGGTTAACTTGCAGGAAAGCAGAGTAGGATGAAATCATGGCAAATAGTAAAATGCTTCTAGGTTCTGTCCTTGGCTAGTGTTGTTTAATCTGTTTATTAATGATTTAATGAAAACTTCTGTCACAAATTACTGGAGCTCTAGTTGTTCATATCCTTAAATTTTGCTTCCACAAAAAAGAGAGGCCAGTTTCTGATTTGCTCATGAGAGCTACAGAACAAAGTACCTAAGGCAGGAAAATATTAGACAGACTAGCAAATTGCCTGTCAAGGAAGGGGGGGGGGAAGAGTGGGGTCTGCTGCCTGAACATTCTCAACTGTTTGAATTTAACTTGAACATTTGATTCATGGCTTTCAATCTTACATTGATACCTAGTACTTTCTGCATTACACTTTTTAAAGAAAGAGAGAATTTAGTAATAAACTGCAATTTATTTCTTACTATACACTTTCAGAGAGCAAGCACAACTATGCTTTTGTGCTCAGATCCTTTAAACACATTAATACACATAACATTTTTCTCTCATGCACAAATATTTGCAGGGTTTGTGCTCTATTCACTTGCTGATAATTTTTTGCTATTTACGGAGTAAACCTAGACCACTTCAGTTTGTCATGCTTCACTGAATCTGGTATCTTTCCAGTTCATGTATATGTTAATCAGGAAGCCCATCATTTTCAGCTCTACTGTATTTTTGTGGTTCTTTTAAATATGAGAAACAAGTTTCCCTTTGGCCAAAAGTATATAAAGGGCACATCTTTTTTAAAAAAGGTAACGATATGAAAGGTAATACAATTTAGGAATGCTCAATTTAGGAGGGGAG